CCCCTCATCTTGCCTTATAGAGGCAGAAGCACAGGCAAGTGACTTACCATCTCTGAGCCTCAGGTCCTCAACGCTGCTGGTCACAGGTAGAACTGTTGTTAGCAATAAATCTAGGGACACATCCTATGAAATTTTACAAATAACACAAAATCTTTGAACAGATGAGAAAAAGGAAACCTGAGAGGCTATGGCAAGATTGTCTAAGTTTACAGTTTGTACAACCAGCTTCCCCAAACACTTGTCCATTGAAACACAATCATGAATCAACAGATTAGCAAATATTTGGATCTCCAAACTGTAATGGTGCAAGTATAAAGGTGAGCTTCACACAATCTTGGAAATTATTGTTCCTTTAAGGGAGATTATGTATACAGTCTCAGGATTTAAGTGATGTTTAAAAGCAATGTAGTAGAATAGTTTCATTGTGCAGTGAGTTTTATAGATATTAAGAATGTTGAAGTCAGAATAGTTTTCAACTGGGATGCAGTGTCTGGTATAAATTCTCGTATGGTTTGTCATGGTTTCCATAAGGCTTGAGTAGGTACCGCAATATAAAAATCTATTTGCGTACTTGTATAGATGCTTCACCCCAGACAGCCTTAAAAATACTGATTGCATGTCTATTCTACCCAATGCCTGATGTAATGTCAGGCTATGTTTCAAAGAAACAAGAAAATAGGCCATGGCACTCTTTTGCTATCTTTACCTAATTCGATATTTGCTCGCTAATTGTTCAACTCACTCGGGCGTCTTTGTAGTGCTCTGTGACCTGTGGTCCTGGAGTTCAGCAAAGGGATGTGTACTGTCGGCTGAGAGGCGTTGGTCGGGTGGCTGAAGAAATGTGTGCTGGATCCACCCGGCCTGATTTTCAGCGGCAATGTTGGCGTCAGGACTGCATGCAGTACCAGTGGGTGGCAGGAGAGTGGCTGAACGTGAGTATTGAGAAGTAAACTTTGAGAGACACTGCATAAAAGACTGACAGAAAAAAACCCCATTTTGTCATTGCACCTCTAGTGTTCAACGTCATGTCATAAAAAAGAGACACATCGGCAAGTGAAGTGCATTGATGCACAAAACATTCAAGTGAATGACAGTTTCTGTGAACCTTCCACCAGACCTCTTTCAATCAAGAAATGCA